CATTACAGTTGTTTACATTGAACAGTTACAAGCTTATGTCAACCTACTGGAGGCTTTCATAGACTAAATGTGCTTCCTCTTCCACCACCAAGCTTGAAGCAAATACCGAATAAAACTTTAAGATATGAGAGCCTGTGTTATAGCTTCTAGCGTTTGAAATGGACGCTTTCTGGTGTGCAAATCGCTCAAAAACAAACAACAAAGCCGAGTTTTCCATTTGTTATCGCCGCTGTTTGCACATGAGCAAGGCAACCGAGCAGTCACCAGGCAACGTGTAATTAAAGCTCAGTCTCCCAGATCAGTTTCATTCAACACCTGAAACACAATTTGTCTCCCTGCCAGAAGCAATCGCAGTCACAGCGTATCGGTAAACATGCTGACTGCATGATGCACGCATGTAAATGTCTCAAGTGCTGCCTTAATTAGGAAACCGTTTCCAAAAATACATTGTGCCTTTCTGGGTGTACACAAAATACTGTCAGGATAATTATACAGTGTCATTATTGATAACGCTAAACCTGTTTGGATCAGTGAAAGCTTTTCCAGACTTGCCTGAGGACTTCGATACACCCATCCCTGTATTTATTCGTCTTTGGCTTCTCTTACCTTTTGTTCCTCCTTCTCTCTGGCAATGTGGCACCTTTCGATCTTCCACTGACGCAGGAAGTCGCGGAGGTAGCCAAAGATGGTGAGGATGCCGTAGCCCATGTAGGTGAGCACCGCCACCAGCATGGGCGTCTCTTCGAAAGATTCGATGAAAGGCCGTTTGTACAGGCTGCCATGGTGTGATGCTGCGTGGACCTGAGCAAAATGGAAAAAGGAAGGAAACACTGTGATTCTGTTGTGCATGCATTGCATTCACCAAAGAGGAGGTCTTCTCTTAAAAAATTTGATTTATTATCTCATATTAACGGGAAACCATCTTGTACTCAAACATGTCTCAATTTGCAGCCCACACTGTAACTCACTATACGCTTGTGCTGAAGCAGGAATTGGAACGCTTGCCTGACAATCATCAGTTGTTTTTTACATTTCTTAAGTATTGAAGTAGTTGTCAGTACATTTGACAGCATATAGGAAAAATGAACTGTTAATAGCGAAGTTGCTGTAATAAACATTTGAAGACCTTCCTGTTTAAAGAGGCTTTTAACTCAACTTAAGGACTTCTTTTTTAAAACTATGATTTTAAGTGTGTGTACGGTTTCTTTTTATTACATGCTTGTAGCACTTTGAGATTTCTTTTTAATGAAAAGTGCTTTATACATAAAATGCATCATTATTATTAGTATTTTTTTTTTTATCTAACAAATATACAAGAAGAAGCTTTATTGTCATCACACAAGAAATACAACGACACTGTTGTTGGGCATCATCTTTGCAGCGGCTAATATGGTCACAAGAAAAACGTTAAAAGATGATATAAATAATAACATAGCAATATAATACAAAATAAACACTATTAAAAGGGCAAAAGAGCATTTGTTAGAATGAGTCCGTAAACTGGAAATCTGTAAATATAGCTTAAAAAAACATTATTATTATCATTATACATTATTTTGCGTCTCCACAGTGCAACACACTGGACCTATGGTAACCCTGTACCACCAACTCTTGGCAAAGTTCACATCTGTTTACACCAGTGAAGATTTAATGGGACATTTTCCAAAATACTCAAACAAAACCCTTAAAAGTGTAGCTGTGACTGATAACCATCCCAACCTTTCAGGACTAACCTTTTCTCTTAACTAAAAGACCACATAGTAAAAAGTACATTTCAGACCACATTAATACTCCTGTATATGTACTACTATATTATGCAGTTTTAAACCTCATCTGAAGTTACCCGACAGAATTAAGTCAGTATGACAAACACCCCCCAATAAATCTGTACTCTTAATATGAACAATGCTGTAGTCTTCGGGTAAACAGCACTGGAACCATATACAGTCCAGATACTGTAAATGTAAATACAGATCAGGAAAAAACGTGCTCTAAACTGGCGGTAATAAAGTATTCTGGATTGATAAATTATATACATGTGTGTCAGAAGGTCTCAGTGGGGATTTCTTTAATCAAAAGCTGTAATATTTCCAGACTTGGCTTCACCTCAGCCTGAGCCAGTGACATCAGTCTGATAGACACACTGACAATGTACCTGCTTTTAATGCACTCGAATAATGCCAATAAAACATCTGTGACACAAACTGAAATTAGAAAGCCTAATACACGGTTATCTATTCAGTAAAACACAGACAGACAGCAAGTGTGTTCTTATCATATGCAGAATGCTGCATCACTTGGTATGAAGCAAGTAACTGATGTAAATCTTCAATGCTGTTTAACAGAACAACACATCTGTAGTTGAAACCAGAGTTTACATACACCGTAGACAAAGACATACAAGCTTCTTTTTTTTTCTCACTGTCTGACATCAAATGTGACTAAACTTTTCCTGCTTTAGGTCAGTTAGGAATACCAAAATTATTTCTATTTGCTAAACGGCAGAATAATGAGAGAGCGAATTTTTTATTACTTTCATCAAAGTAGGATGTTTACATACATTTCCTTAGCATTTGGTAGCGTTGCCTTTAAACTGTATGACTTGAGTCAAATGTTTTGGGTTTCCTTCCACAAGCTTCTAACAATAGATAGAATTCTGGCCCATTCCTCCTGACAGAACTGGTGGAACTGAGTCAGGTTTGTTGGCCGCCTTGCTCCACACATGTTTTCAGCTCTGCCCTCAAATGTTCAACAGGATTGAGATCAGGGCTTTGTGATGGCCACTTTGCTGTCCTTAAGCTCTTTGTAACTAATCTGGCAGTATGCTTAGGGTCAAGACCACAGGACATATCTCCAAAAACGAAGGTCTTTGTCCCCATGTGCATTTGCAAACTGTAATCTGTCTTTTTTATGTAGCTTTTGGAGTAATGTCTTCTTCCTCTCTGAGTATTCTTTCAGCCCATGTCGGTACAGGACTGGTTTCACTGTGGATAATGACTCTCTTACCAGCTTCAGCAGCATCATCACAAGGTCTTTAGCTTTTGTTCAGGGGTTGATTTGCACATTTCACACCAAAACACTTAATCTCTGGGACACAGAACTCGTCTCCTTCCTGAGCTGTATGATGGCTGGACATTCCCATGGTGTTCGTACTTGTATATAATTGTTTGAACAGATGAACATGGAACCTTCAGGCATCTGGAAATTGTACCCAATGATGAACCAGACTTGTGGAGGTCCACAGTTCTCTTCCTGATATCTTGGCTGGTTTCGTTAGATTTTCCATGTTGTCACAAAAGGAAGCAGTGTGTTTGAGGTGTGTCTTAAAATACATCCACAGGTGTGCCTCCAATTAACTCAAATGTTGTCAGTTAACCTATCAAAAGCTTCCACAGCCATGACATCATCATCTGGGATTTCCCAAATAGTTTGAAGGCATAGTAATCTTAGTGTATGTAAACTTCTGACTTTGATGAAAGTAATAAAAAAAATCTCTAAAAAAATTCTCTCTCTCCTTAATCTGGCATTTAGCAAATAGAAATAATTTTGGTAAACCTAACTGACCTAAAACAGGAAAAGTTTCGTCTGATATAATGTCAGATAATGAGAGAAAAAAGGTATTTTTTATATAGTGTATGTAAACTTCTGGTTTCAACTGTATATCTGTATGTTCATTTTCCGTATTTATTTTACAAATAAAGTTTACGTTTTTTCACACTGGATTTGAGCCCACAATGTCAGGATTACAAACAACATTATTTAGTTAATTGCAGTGATTTTTGCTAGCTTCTGGATCAATATGCTACTGTCTTTATTATATTGTTAATATGCAATTCTAATCATCTTAAAACGTCTGTTTTCTTTGCTGTGAACCAATGTGATTAAAGCTTGATATATACATCGTACCAGTGCTGTTTGTTTGTAGGATTTTTGCCAGAAGAACGTCTCAGGATGGAAACGTAAAAAAAAAAAAAGTGAGCAGAAACAATGATTTTGAGCAGCAATAGTTTGTTGATTGATTGATCGAGTTACATAAAAGTAATCATTTTTCACTTTCAAACAAGCATTCACAAGATATGACTTGCTGTAGTTCAGCTTCTCAAATGTGGTTTTCTTTCTCATATTTGAGAGTAAATATGTGAGTATCTGGACTGTGGGTTGGACAAAACAGCATTTAAAGTTGTCATCTTGAAAGATAATGAAAGAAAAAAGCTTTTCTCTAGAGCAAAAACTATTCTTGGAGAAAACAATTATTGCTTGCAGCTATACTGTGCAGGATAATTCAATTGTTTCACAGTCAGAACACAACAGCCTCTATCTCTATTTATGCAAGGCTACCCAACAATAATATTCTCTCCATGTAATCACAGCTTCCCCAGCTAAGACCTTAAATGGAATTAAGCTCTATATTATGGTGCATGCAAATACACTTTCCCTCTACTTTTCGTCCTAATGAGAAAAAAATGCATTTTATCTTTTGTTATAGTTGGCTGAGGTTGGTGGAACTCACTTAGAGGTGACTTATTTGCAGCCAAATTGGAAGTGGTAGGAAGATAAGACCACAGCATTAAGTGCTGGTTCTGCTGTGCACTAACTTTACAGGAAAGCAAACACAGGGAGGGAAGATTTGACTGCCAAATAAGGGAGGAGCAGGTCGTGTTGATGTAAATCCGAACACAGAAAATTTACGTTTATGTTTACTCTCTACATCTTGATAAAGCGGGCAGACAGAAACAGAAACTCCCTCCTCGTGGTGCAATTGTGCAATTCGCTTTCCCATCATGCTCGTCTCGGCGCTCGCGGCTATTAGGCCCTACATGTGACCGGTCATGCCTCTCTCTCTCTCTCAAATACCTTACAGAGTAGCAACGCTGACATGTGCATGAACTCTAATCAGCTGAGGTTCAGTCACCAGGCGCTCAGTTTCTTAGCCTACCCAGCCAGCGTAGTGGAGGAAACTCTGAGCTCTTGGCAAGTCTGGTGATGAGAATAATGAGATAATAAACAACACTGTGTCCGTCACCTAATTGTACTTAAGAATCACAGACTAGAAAAGTAAAAAAAACCTCACTCTGGTGTATACAACAACTCCATACCACAACATATCTGTGAGTCTGAATGCCCATGTGTGTGTGACAGCGTTTAATCATGTCGTCAGATGGGACCCGTTAATTGGAACAGTTACACAGAGCGCACCCAAGGGTGGAAATTTCATTAGCCTCTTTGGAAAAGCTGTTCCAAAGCATGCAAAACAGTCTCGGTGGGCAGGCGGACGTGAACAGGTGTGCTGGTTTGGTTTGTCTCTGATGACACTCATCACAGTTTCATTCTTACTTATAAAGGGAATTACCCACAAACTAAAATGAGCAGGGGGCAGATAAATGTATAGCTGAAATAGAAAAGGAGGTAGAATTATACACTTAAACACATATTACTCTCTAATAAAAAAAAAAAACACCAAGTCAACAGGTGAGATAAGGATCCACACGTTACCTGAACTGTCCCAACTTGCTGGACTGGTTCTGATGAAATGTGCACTTTCAGTATTTGATAAATCTTGGAGTTTTATCATTCCCAGTCTGTGCCTCAGATTAAAGTCACACACCAGTCTGTTTTCTTAAATTCGGCACACATACAATGCACTAAACACGATCAGAATACCGTGTAAATTTAACTCAGCTGTCACACCCGCCTTTTTTTAAACAACCTCCCTCCTTTACAACTACTGACTGGGCTGCACGAACTCATTCATAAAGTTGAGATTTTAATGAACTCATTTGCTGTTTGGTGCAAATATTATTACGCCGAATTACAGAGTAGTTCGTAACGATTGAGAGCAAGAGTTTGACTTGTGTTTTGAGTGTGTTTATGACATGAAAAAAGCATGAAAACTATTTAAACTTCGGAATTTCTTATGGAGTTTGGTGTTCAATCTGTGACAGAGTGTGGAGCCATCATTGCTCGATTGACAGCAAACCTTCAGATTACGAGCAGTAGAATTTAACCAGATGCCTTTCTGTCTTCCTAAAAACCCAGCAGTTCATGCTAATGACACCGCTGACAGCATCGTCCCACACAGCTGATGCTTCCCCCCCGGCTTCACCAACCTCTCCGCCCCGTCCCATCCCGGGCCTCACCTCCTCCTCGTCGGGGTGGCAGTGGTGCTTGTGCTGCCGCTCATGGCAGCGGTGGAGGCTCTTCACCAAGCCGTTTCTCTCCGGTTTCAGTCCGTTCTTCACACGCACTTCCCCGTTGGCTGGCTTGGTCGCGGGGCTTTCAGTCATTGCTGCTGAGCAACGATTGTGGAGCCGCGACGGTAACTTGCATGTAGGAACACGGAGCCCGGCTGCGGTGCAAAGCGGTGACAGTATCCGAGCTGGGACCGTTTACAAACACACGCCACAAACTCTCCCACACACGCACATACACGGACAACACACGCACGCACTCACACACGCACACACGCACTCTGTGGAACCTGAAAATCCAGACGCTAAATACCGGAAATCAACGCCCCGTAAACCATCATATCTGAGGCAGTCTGATGGGGGCGGGGTCACGTCGTGGACAAGGGGCGGGGCTTCACGCACGTCACCTTTGACTGGACAACATGTGGTCAACATAACAACATGTATTTGCTAATTATAATATTTAAAACTACAGGTTTCGACATTTTAATGAATGTGCAATCTCAATATAACAAAATTATTTTTTAATCTTAATTTTAAAAAAGATATAGATTTTGCAATATTAATATTAAAAAAAACAAAACATAGATTTTGTCATCTTAATATTAATAAAATATAGATTTCTAATGTGAGAGATGAGATAAGGTTAACTTTATTGTCCTGAAGGAAACTTGTCTTGGATGAAAGTGCTGGATGCCATGGCACAAATACCACAAATACCATGCAATTATAGCACATTAATTATACCATACAATAGCACACTATCATTAGCACATTCAGCTCATTTGCACATTTCTGTCATTTGCATATTTCTGTATCTCTCTTATATACTCTTGTAAATTTTGTTGACTTTCTTCTATATTATACTTTCTATATTTCCATCTTATTTTATTTTACCTTCATTCTATAACCTACCTTAATATTCTGTGTTGTCTTTTGCCTTGTTTGCCCCCTTTGTTGAGTGATTGTGCTGCTGTAACACCTGGATTTCCCTCTGGGATTAATAAAGTCAGTCTAAATCTAATACAGACAGCTTTTATTGCCAAGTGAGCTCACACACACACAAGGATTTTGACATGGTGAATGAAACTGGTACACAACAATAACAAGATAGGCAATAAATATAGAAATCTAAATCTAAAAAAAAAATCTGAATAAAATATTTTATGTCCCTAAGTCGACTGGGACAGGCTCCAGCCCCCTGCGACCTGAGTGAGGATTAAGCGGTGTATAGATAATGGATGGATATTTTCTGTAAAAGAAAAGTATAAAAGTACTATGTAATTTAAAAAAAGAGACAAAAACTTGCCTAAACCAGAGTAATAAATTAGAAAACAATTTAAATGACAATATTGCAAATTAAACTGAAGAACTGCACATATAAAGATATTGCATAGAGGTAGTGTAACAGGAGTCTTTAGTGATTTAGTGATTGATTGTTCATGAGGGATATGACCTGAGGGAAGAAGCTGCTCCGGTGCCGGGATGTTCGGATGCTGAGAGACCTGAAGCGCCGGCCGGAGGGTAGCAGGTCAAAGAGGTGATGACCTGGGTGGAAGAGGTCAGAGAGGGTTTTTCCTGCCATACAAAGTACAAAATAACCTCACATGACAACATCAGTCAACAAAAAGTGCTTCATGTTATTATGTTTATATTAATAAAATATACATTTTTTAAAAAATCTTATTTTTAAAAATGCTTTTGTAACCTTAGTATTAAAATATATGGGTTTTGTAACAGTATTTTAAGAAAAATATTAATAATACAAGCTATACATTTTGGAGTCACAATGTCCAAAAAAAAATCTGTTTTGTAATCTTAATATTAAAAATATATGTTTTATATCAAGTAATAAATACACATGATATAGTCTTAGTATTAAATTATATTATTCTAACAATATTTTGTGACATTTTCTATCAGTACTGGATTAAGGTGACATTTTAAACATGCATGCATTCGCAGCCTGAGTCCTTGGACACTGTTTCTAACTCTCTATTAAGATTTATAACTGGTGGTAATGATAATACTCAGTACTGTAAGCTGTAAGCTAAGGTTAAGTGGCCTTCACTGCTGTGATAGACACTGGGTTTTATGTGGTTACAGAGCTCTTAGTGTTTATTTTTACTCCATTTTATTACCCCATTACAGTCTTTTAATGTGGGCCTTTATTGAACCGAGGCTATGCTGCAGTTGCCGGCTGTTTTTATTGCTCTTGGAAAATCATTTTTTTAATAACCTGAAGATAAATCTAAAGCTGGACGGATTTGTATTCTTAGTTCAATTCCGGTTTTTGATTGAATCTGTACTCCCTGCTGTTGAATTAATTGAAAAACAAAAAGCAAAAAAATGCATTGTAGATTTATCACATTTCTGAATAAGAGCAAGCTGACAACAAAGTTATTATATATCTATATAAATTCAGTGCAAGGTGGAGCAATGGTCAGCATCATTGCCTCGGAGCAAGAAGGTCGCTTGTTCGCGTCCCGGTGAGGACACCCGGGATCTTTCTGTGTGGAGTTTGCATGTTCTCCCGCGGGTTCTCTCCGGGTTCTCCGGCTCCCTCCCACAGTCCAAAAACATGTTGAGGTTAATTGGTGATTCAAAATTGTCTGTAGGTGTGAATGTGAGTGTGCTTGGTTGTCTGTCTCTAAGTGTAGCCCTGTGATAGACTGGTGACCTGTCCAGGG